CCTGAAAACTGCATTTGTAATTTGGATATTTCTGTGTACTCCGTGTAATCAAGAGTTTCTTCTTCCGACCATGTGAAGTTTATGGTCTGATGAATTGCATGGTACCCATCCCCAGATTTAAATCTTGCTGTCCTCAGCAATAAACTTAAATCTAAAATAATCCTAAGCAAGAAATCAGAAAAATTTGATACTGTACTCTGCACACATGTCACAAGATAAAGAAACTACGTCAGCATGTCATATCCCAAAAAAAAAATCATAGTCACGTCAAGATCAGTCTCAATATACATCTCATATCAACATGAACTAAAATCAACAAAAGAAAAAAAATCTAAACATTGAGACAATGGTCAATCCTCATCAATTTCAGTAGTGGGTGCAATATCATTTCATCAGCATCCTGTGTAGTGTCTGCAACCATATCAGCATTAGTATTTGAGTATCCAACATGTTTGCAAAGTTAGTGCAATTTCCACATAACAATTCCCAGATTTATATTCAGATGCATCTGAAAATAATAATAAGTATATGGAACTGAAATACTTTAACAGTATGCATAATGTCAAAGATGAACGCGCTTAAGCGCAGTGATTCGCGCTTAAGCGCGCTGAGGCAGTGGGAAATGGGATAAAATTTTATTTAACGCGCTTAAGCGCGCTAGGGCCGAGAGAAATTTCACTTTTTTGGGGGCTTAAGCCTCCTTTAAGGGCTTAAGCTCTCAATACTTAGAAAATTTTCTCCATATTTTCCTATTCCTTGCATTCATCTCTACTGTGTATTCTTCCACCTCAATAATTCTGCTCAATATCATACACAAAACATATAAATGAATAAGAGTTGCGTACCTGTGTATGCTTTAATCCCACTTACACCTGAAAGTCCATCTCAACAGAATTTGATCATTAACCTCAATGTTTTTATTTTTTTGATTTTTATGATATGACTAAAATAAACTATGCTAAGAATAATTAAAATAAGCTAAACTAAATTTAAAATACTATACTAAAATGTTGGAAAATAAAAAATATAGTTGGGTTGCTCAGCGCTCCCGAGGTTGCCAAGAAAGGTCTTCCGAAGATCATAGGAATAGTAAAGTTTTCCTCTATATCAAGGATGACAAAATCAACAGGAATGATGAATTTGTCAACCTTTACCAGTATGTCCTCAATAATGCCATAAGCTTGCTTTGTAAAGCAGTCAGCCAGTTGAACTATTGTCTTGGTTGGCCTTACTTCAGTGATCCCCAGTTTCTTCATCATAAATAGTGGCATCACGTTGATGCTGGCACCGAGATCACATAGAACATTTTTCACTTCCATATTGCCTATGTTGCATGGAATGCTGAATCTTCCTGGATCTTTAAGCTTTGGAGGCAACTTTTTCTGGATAATGGCACTGCATTCCTCTGTCAGCGTCACCGTCTCACATTCTTGTAGCTTACGCTTTCGTGATAGAAGATCTTTCATGAACTTTGCGTAATTGGGCATGTTCTCCAAGGCCTCAGTAAACGGGATATTGATTTGCAGCTTCTTGAAAATGTCAAGGAATTTGGAATACTGCTGCTTTTTGATTTCCTCTCTGAACCTCTGCGGATATGGAATCTTTGCATAAGGTGAGAGCTTCAATGGCTTTTCTTACCTTTCTTGAGCTTTCTTTTTCTCCCATTTGAACTCTTTCTTCTCAGGAACAGTTTTCTCTGCAGCAAATTCTTTGGCAACTTCCTTTTCTTTTTCCTTTTCAGTTGCAAGATCATCATCTTTCTTTTTCTCAACTGAAGGCTTTACCACAGGTTCAATGGCTTTCTCACTCATAGTAGTAATCGCATTGCAGTGTTCCCTACTTGGATTTGGAATAGTGTTACCTGGAAAAGTTCCTTGAACTCTTTCAGTGAACTGCTTTGATAGCTGGCCAATCTGAGTTTTAAGATTCCGGATAGAAGCTTCTTGATTCCGGAATGAGGCCCTTGTCTCTTGCATAAAGGCTGAAGTGTCTTCTCTAAAATTATTGGAACTTTGAATGTAGTCTGATGTGGTCTTGGATAGTTGTGCAAAGGCCTTTTCCCATTCTGATTGTTGAGGAGGTTGCTGTTGCACTGGCATAGGAGGATTCAACTGATGGTTCGAACTGTAACTAAATCCCGGGTGTTGATTTTGATTTTTATTTCTCCACCCTTGATTCTGATTATTGCCGTATTGGTTCCTCCCTGGATTATATGGAGCTTTTTGATCATGCCAAATTCCATTAACATCTGCAGTTTCGGGTGCCTTGCAGTCATCAGTAGCATGAGCACCTGCACAAATATCACAAACAATAGAAGAAGTATTAACAGAAGCTACTGGAGTATTAACAGAAGAAACTTGAAAATCAGAAAATTGCTTCGTGAGAGCATCTAGTTGTTGTTGCTGTTTCTTATTAAACTGTAGAATCTGATCATTCTGGGCCAGGATAGCATCATAGCCATCAAGCTTCATAATCCCCGCTCTTCTCTGTGGTACGGGAGCATTATCATACTCCTGAGAGGCTAAAGACTCTAATAATTCCAAGGCTTCCTATGGAGTTTTTGTTTTCAAGGACCCTCTTAATGCAGCATTCACCAATGTTCTTGTGTTGGGCTTCATCCCTTGGAAGAAAGTTCTCGCTTGTTCCCAGGCTTCAATGCCATGTTGGGGACACTTCCTGAGTAGTCCTTTGAATCTTTCCCATGCTTCATATAGAGATTCACTTTCTTTTTGTTCAAAAGAAGTGATATCAGCCTTGAGCTTTGCCATTTTCGAAGATGAGAAAAATTTGTCTAAGAATTTGGTTGCCAAGTCATCCCAGTGAGTGATGCTTCCTTGAGGTAACGATTGCAACCATCCTCTTGCTTCGTCTTTAAGTGAACATGGGAACAATCTGAGCAAAATAGCATCCCGAGACACCCCATTCATCTTCAAGGTATCACAATATAACAAGAAGTTTTCCAGATGGATGTAAGGGTCTTCCGTGCTTCCTCCGGCAAATTGGTCTTTTTGAATTAATTGTAAAAGTGCTGGCTTGAGTTCGAAGTTGTTAGCATCCACGTTTGGTCTAACAATACTCGCCGTCTGTGGAACTCGAGCAGAAGTCATGTAATCTCCCAACGTTCTCGGAGGTGGTGGAGGTGCATTGTTGTCTCCCATTGCTTCTTCTCTTGGTTCTGTTGAGCTTGAAGCTTCTTTCTCTTGTTGTCTTCTTTCTTTAGCAAGTTTTATGTTTCTTTTTGCTGTTTCTCTATCTCCGGGTCAAATTGCAAGGAATCGGTGTCAACGGTACCTCGCATAAACCAGAAAAATAGATTATATAAAATAAGAAAATAAAACTGAATTTAAATAACAGAAATTTAAATAACAGAAAATAAGGTCCAATCTAAAGAATTAATAGCTACTATTAATGTTGAAATAGTAATCCCCGGCAACGGTGCCAAAAACTTGTTGTTACTCACGGCAAGTGCACCGATCGTACAAGTAATATATGATTAAGTAAGAGATCGTTCCCACGAGGATTACGGTTCAAGCACTAATTCACTATCGCAAACTTAGTTGGACAATCGAAAGTGTATTTGGAAACAGGATTTGAATTGCAAAATTAAAATATTAAATATTAAGCTAATTACTTGCAAGAATTAAAGACAAGAAATTAAAGATGTGATTTAACTAATAAAATAAAAACGTAGCTAGGGGTTCGATTTCATTTAATCTCCTTATTACGTTTGAATTCCTTCTTAATGTTAATTGTCCTTAGTATCAATCTAATCAATTCTTTCGCATGTTATTAGAGCTCAATCCCTTGTTACTCTAAAACCTTTACAATATTGGAAGAACCCTAGTTCCCCGGTTATTCCCCAAGCATGCAAGTATTAAATTCAAGAATCTTAAAGATTACACAAACCCTATGTCTATCCCTAGAATCATAACGTTTACGATGAAGTTATGAGATATGGATCACACACCAACATTCTTATTGTCATGCATTCACCGATGATCATTATATAAGATTCAAGCCTATATAAAGCATTAAAAACAGATAACTTCATTCATGATATAAAGGAAAATTAACACAGCGAATTGTTCAAAACATAATAAATTGACTAAAATCCATTTAACCCTAACTACTTAAAGAACTAGCCGGACATAGCAAAATCAAGAACAAAAGAAAATAGAAAAGCTCCCCCAAACTCCATAAGTGATTGGTGGATCTTCAATATCTCCAGTGAACACTTGACGTTGATCCGTCTCCGCCGCTCACGAACATGAATCTGATGTTTCTCCGCGTTCCTTCAGCCTCCAAGCACCCAAGAGTTGTTTAGCAATGTAAAAGTTCTCTATTTCTGGTCCCCAATGGTGTTTTAAATAGGTCAAGAGTTCGTATTGCAGTAGAAAACTTGAATGGGCCTAAGTTGGACTTGTCTGGGCGCTTAAGCTTGTGAATGAGGGCTTAAGCTCCCACTTCTAACAACTTGATAAGATCTTCAATCTTATTGTTTTCACCTTGATTCATCTTCTTTTCTGATTTGATCTCTCTTTATCTAAATCTTCATATTTGAATCATTTGTTATCAAATCACTTTAAAAATAACAAATATATTAATTAGTTCCAACAATCAGATAATGTTCATGATTATCATTTTAAAACCCTAATTTTTGACTTGTTCAACTAGATAATTCATATTATTTTAGTCCATTAAACAAGATAAACTAAAGGTTTATCAACTATTATCTCAGGTCTTATTAGGTTTACCTATATGTTGTTTACAGTTATTTGTCCTGGCTGAAGATCGGTCCAATCAAGTCTCTTTCCCATTTTATTGGAATTAAGGATCCGTCCATTATTATTCATTAAACCGGCGGTTATTTTCTTGTTTTCTTTCTTCTAATGATGAACAACAATAATAATCATTAGCCTTGAATATGGGTATTGCCTTTGCCGTGACCCTTCTCAACTTGTTTTGTTTCTTCTTCTATGTAATAATGGCCAAAGAAAGGGTAGTGACATGGCTGCAGCGAAACCCAAAATCAAAGAATGTTTCATTCTTTGACCAAAACAACAAGGGCAGGTTATATTTAAAAACTTTTTTGTTTACAAACTCTTACAAATTACACTATATTCTCTCGGGAGAATACAAACTTTTACAAACTACACTATGTTCTCCCGGGAGAATACAGTTTAAATTGTAAAAAAAATTCAAAAAAGTTTGTAAATGAATCCTGTCCCAAACAACAATTAATTACCTTACAACTCTTTAAAGCGCCGTTTGGTACTATTTTTTTTTATAGTATTTATTAGTATTCCTAAATGTGTTCGGGTTGATGTACAAAGAACGGGCAAACCTTTATGGCTTGTAGAGTCATTTTTTAGGATTCCCGAAAAATTGAGTGGTAATCATATTTACTCACGTTTGGTACAAGTTTTTTAAAATTTTCTCGGGAATCTGATTTTCCCGAAATTTTATTTTGTGTGTAAATTTTTTTGAAAATACTATTCAGAGGGTGGTATTCTAAGATTTTTATGGCAAAGAAAAATTTAATACAACTAAACATAGCATTAAGAAAATTAACCCAATATTCCCGAAAATATTTTAGTCTACCAAATACCTTTTTAGTAACATTCTCAGAAAACTCATCTTTTCATCATATTCTTAGAAATCGTGATTTCTGGATAAAAAAAAAAATTCTCCTTTGCCAAACGTCCTCTAAAGTCCTTCCAATTGCACTGTTCGATGAACAAAAATAATACATCTCGTCAAATTCTCAATGTCATCAAAATTGCAATTTTGGGTGAACTATTAACACCCAAGCTTAAACTTCCTAAGGAGCAAATGATGAGTTGTTGGCCTTTTTCTAGTAATGCTAGGTAAAGCTGAGAAGGAATTTCTCCAAGACACCAATAAGGTGACCCGGAAGGTAAAATTGATGGAATTTTCTATATCAATAAATTTCGAGATTAAATAAAATGTCTTGTAGCTTCCCTCAAAGCCCTTTAAGCTGAACAACCAGCCCTGTTAAGGAGGTCCACTTCTCAAATGCACTGGCCGAAGAAACAAAGGCAAGTTTGGAGGATTCAACATCATTCCGAGAAACTGCCAGAAAATAAAAACCAGGAATAAGAGTTAGCATGTGCTTATACAATCTTAGAATCGCCGGAAGGCTTTACTTAACCGTTATCCTTGGCCTGGAATTTAGGAAGCAAATTGCTTACACTATATATATATATATATATATATATATATATATATATATATTGGAAGATAATAGATGTCTAACAAGTCTTCAACGCATTATTAATCTTGATCCCACTTGTATTTAACGGTGGTTCATGTGACAGAAAAATTTAAATTGTTAGATGTAAGTGAGATAAATGATTAATAGTAGTTATGAAACGATGTGAGTTGATCCTTCCCATATCTATAGAGAAAGCTTTTAAGAGTCTATCTACAAGGTAGGAAAAGAAAGATGTATGTGGCAGGAGGATATTTTATGTCTTGTATGAAACTTGATTCCTAGTTACATGCTACACACCTGATGAAACCAATGAAGCTAGTGAGGAATTGAATATGTCCACCTCAGTCTTTTCTTCAGGACTGGAACTCAGCTGTTAAAAGGTTACCCAGAAAATGTGAGAGTTCTAATTAAGAGGTAGGAAAATAAAGATTGAAAACAAAAAAAATCACTACACATCAAACCCATACTAACGAGAGCAGCTTTACCACCGCTCCAGACTCGTCTTCTAAAAGAAAGATTATAATACAATAAATAAAACTTTCTCAAAAAAATCTATCAACCAAAATATTTCAAACTTTTAAATGGAAATTAAAGAATATGTCCCGATCTTCATTGTGTCTCATGCACAAGTGCGGGATTTGAAATTTGTCCACCCTTAGGTTTTAATCTTTACCACTTGAAATTGAAATTAAAGGCACCAGTTTTTTCCCGTTCAGAAAATTCAGAATCTAATGCAGCTATATCAGAATTTAGATACCAAGCAAAAAAATTACTGCAAATTAAGTGATTGATAAAGAAATTAAGAGTGATGTTATCATGGTAGTTAAGAACTGGCATGTTTTTTGTCTTTGGGGTCAAACTTTTTTGATGAAAGATATCATAACAAAAGTGTTCAAAATGAATGCAATCACATAATAAACCAGACTTACCTTATTCAAAGCTATATTAGCTTTTTGGACCCAATCAGTATCAGTGCCTTTCCCAAAGACAGAACCAGCTGTAGGTAGATCATTGTTTTCAATTGCTTGACCAACTTCACTTAGTTTGTAGACCAGGTCCTGAAGATACTCTGCAAATATTTTTCAATTTTGATTAGCTTAGTCACTTAGGGGGTGTTTGGTTCAAGTTTTTGGAGAGGATTACCGGTAATCCTTCTTTGGTAAATGTAATTACCACGTTTGGTAGAAGGAATAAATTACGATTCCCGGATATCCAAGGATTACCGTTAATTTGATTTATAAAGAAAAGTCACTATTCAGATTACCAAAAATAATATGGTAATTCGGAATACCAATCAGAATACCAAGTAAAGGGAAAGCACAACAATAAATTTTGAGACAAAAATATCCCAATACACATAAAAATCTAAACCCAATCTATCAATTACAAAAGTAAAAATAGTTTGGGGTTATTTTTGTAAAATAACCTCATATTCCAAGTCATATTTCGTTCTAAACCAAATATGGAATCAGTAATTTTTACCCAATATTCCCGGTAATATTTTGGCGAACCAAACTGATACAGACCAACCACTGATTCACGGAATTAAAGGAAATAATACAGTAATTTGGATCTGAAAATTATACTTTCATATATTGAAACAACAAAGATTACAAACAGAGACTAGTAACAACTATTCTTGCAGAAATTAGGAAATTACAGTAACAAGAAAGAAATCACAATGCAGGAAAATAGTAAGATAGTGTGGAACACATGTGAGAGGTTCCACTCTCTCCCAATCCCAAAAAGGGCCCAAGCAATTCCAAAATATTCCAGCTCCCTTCACTCTTCTCCTTCCTTGCTATTTAACCATCTCAACCTCCCTTCCCACGCCATTCTGTTGAAACTGATTTGCTGAGTCAACAAAGGCTGGGCCCACATTATTTTAATCCTTCCTATACATACATGACTTGGGCCAGATCGTATCAATACTCCCTCCCTTTTAAGCACCTTGTCCTCAAGGTGCAGATCAACTCTTGAGAACTTTATTCCGGGATCCCATTGCTTGAATTGTAAAGATTCACAATTGCAACCAACATAATAATTTCCACCAGGATCCCAACTTTTAGAAGCCCCTACATCCAGGAATTTTGTTTGAGCATCCAACTTAGCAACAAACACATCTTTCGTAAGATTCCAAGTAAACTCAATTTCTACTGAATTCCCATTAATCATGATTCCCGGTCACCAAAAAATTTCTCTTGTACCAAACACACCCTTAGGAAAATTGACCTAGCTGAAAATTTCATCTTTTATTCCACCCAAGAAAAAAAAAAAAAAAACTCGTGCTTTTGGTTTCATGAAGGAGACTCGAGCAAACAATAACATGGACAAGGGAATAGAAATTCATCATGGGAGAGAAACACAAGTTCTATATCTCATTCTTGAGATTACCATGGTTGGGAGGAGAAAAATGCACTCAGCCAGTGTGGCCACTTCAAATCTTAATTCTATTACTTTATTCCCTAAGCTGGGACTACATACAATTTATAAGCCTTGCAGATGCAGACAGCAAACAACTTTCCTTTGAAATGTGTAAGTCTTGTTCAATTTCTGATGGTGAAAAAATAACCATTCAAAGTACAATTCACACTAGAGATGGTGTCAAATATCACTAGCATGGATTTGAGATCCTTAAGATATGGACTACTATATAATCTTAAAGGAGACAAATAAATTTCAGCTAGCCTCTGCATGTCTCCAAATTTTTTAATCCAACTGAAAATTTATTCACATTTCCGTGATACAGTTAATATTTGTGAATATGTGAAAGAAACAGGTAACCAAATATAATATGAATTTAATTTTGAAGCACTGTTTATCCTTGTATCCAATGAGATATTTTTACATCATTCAACAAGTTTTACACTAATATTGCATTAAAATTAAACTCATAAAATATTTGACAAAACATGCAATAGACAAGACATTTTTGTTCATTTGAAGCCCTCAAGAATTGGGCTCAATTACTTTACTGCTAGGCTATGTAGACCCTCAAATTTATCAATCTAACTTAAAATTTATCTGCATTTCAGAGTGAACAGTCAATCAATTTAAGGAAAGGAGCATGAAAATGAATTTCATATATGGGGAAAACACATAATAGGACAAATCAATAATGTACTTTAGTTTACTGGTCATCTTTATGTAAAGATGTTAAGGTTACATCCACTTCCACCCGATAATGCAGGGAAAGCAAAATGTCATTTTTGAGGGATCAATCAAACCTGTTTCTTTGGTGGATGAATTGATCACACCTTGTCTTTCAAGTCTCTTCTTTCTGTCCTTCTTTACTTTTTCCATGAGCTCCTCATCATCTTCTGCTTCAAGTATTGCAGCATTAGCATCAAGGCAGCCCTTACCAGCAAATGAAAGCACAAAGCTGGTGACAATACTGATGGATATGCCTCTTTTGGTAAGACTTGGAGGACATAGTTCTGCCTCATTAACTGCTTTGCAAAGAGTTAATTGCCTTTTCACACTGCATTTCATGGGTTGGTAAACATATGCTGGTGTTGCTAATGACAAAGAAGGTGAGAATGATGATGAAGATGGTAGACAGAATGGGTTAGCAGTTGAGAGAAAATTTGTTGCCATGTCTTTTTTTCCCTCGTTTCTGTTTTTCTTTTTCTTTTTTTCCTTTTCCTTATTTTCCTGTTTTTTGGACCTGGAAATTCAGAAGACATGGCAATTTGGAACCTTTTTTAAGGATAAGGTTGCTGGATTCTGTAATCTGATCCAGTCATTTTTTTCAGATCCTGAAGGGTATTATAGTCATAGAAAAGTATTTGAATAATCCACTGCCACCGAGAGGAGCGAATAAATTTTTAGTGCAACTCATTCAGTGCATTTGTTATTACGTGGGTAAAAAATATCATATCATTTGATTGGTTATTGTTTAATTTTTTCTTTTTCTAAATAATATGATATTTTTTATGCACATGTCACAAAATAAATGACAAATGCACTAAATCTTATAGGGATAAATTGCACTAAAGATTTATTGGTTCTATATAGTCTCTTCCAAATTCCAATGGAGTGAAAGGATGCATCTTGGCCACGGAAAGTTCACTTGTATACTTGTCGGAATACTCACTAAAATGTCACTATTTTTCAACTTTTTTTTCTAAATGTCATGTTAATAGTGTTAATTCTCAATATGTCACGTGGACAAGTTTGCTGGGCACTGTAGCGAACTCAGTTTGCTGATGTGTCACGTTCCTAGTGGACATCAAGTTCGCTACTTTAGGTAGCAAACTTGGTTGCAATTAATGCACCCTGCACATTTTCACCTGTCACGATGACACATGGCAGACATGCAACGAAGTTCACTAGGACGGGAAGCGAACTTCGTTACATGTCTGTTACGTGGCGTGACAGTGGAAACATGCAGGTGCATTAATTGCAACCAAGTTCGCTACCTAGAGTAGCAAACTTGTCCACGTGACATTTTAGAAATTAATACTGTTGGCGTGACATTTAAGTAAAAAAAATTGGAGAACAGTGACATTTTAGTCACTGTTGCTGTACCTGTCCCGGTGAAGATTTTCTCCCATCAATTATTAACTTATTACCTTAGCCAAATGTGATCATTCTCTTCTCTACCCACCAAACAATTATCAAAAAAGATTTAACTTAACGCTTCATGAAAATCAAGTATAACCAAATGAACCGTACAAGAACTCAAGTTCAGCCGGGACATGTTTTTGCAAAAAGTCCTTTTATCTTGCTGTTAACCTTCTATGCTTGTCATTCTCAAACCACCTACAATAGTTAGTATCTTGCAGGTGAGATGCTGATTCATGGTCACGGTTTTTTTATAATTTTATTATGTATACAAACACCAAAGTAAGCTTAGCCAATTGTTACTACTTTTTGAAATCAACAACGATGGGAAGACGTAAAAAGCAGATTCCCTTATGTGGGCTCCTAAAAGCCACTTTCTTTACAATTTTGCGTTTTAGCGTTATTAAACCAAACACTAGCCTCCAAGCCAGCTCAAAAGGAACTCATTCTTGATGAGAATATGATCACACTACTTTGTCACAGTCCTTTGACACTGTCCTTACTGATTAAGTGTCTAGGAACTTAAAGGGGAGGTTTACGTGTAGCCGTGTAGTGTTTTAAAGTGCTTCCACCTTCTTATAAGTAGTTTCAATTTTAGTCTTAATCTTTTCTATTGGTCGTTCGTAATTATACTATATATATATATATATATATAAATGTATCTATATGCTTTAGCTTTGTGGTCCGGAAGTGTGTTGGGTATGGCTCATACTTCGCATGCTGATGAGGGCTCTAATTATCGGGGTCAGCAGAAAGACAACTGGGGTTCCGCTCCCAGGTGAGCGGGCGGAGGTCCGGGAGAGCTTCCTCGGCAGGGGTCTGGGGGGCAGCGCCCCCAGGCCCGTAGAGGCTAGGTACTGTTGTGTGCCTCTGTTTTATTGTAATTTTCTTAGCAGTTTGGGCTGGGCCCATGAATAGCTGTTGTTAGGGTTTTGTAATCCTATTTATATTTGTCTTATAAATCGAGAGACTTGTAACGAGTGACGATGAGGTGAATATAGTACAGACAAGCTGAACGTAGCCTAAATTGGGTGAATCAGGGTAAATCGCTGTGTCTACTCTCTCTCTTTTTCTTTTTCTTTTTCGTTTTTGATTTGTGTGTGGTCTATTTCCAATAGAGTGGTCTTAATTTGCACCTTTAATTTAAGTTGTTATTAAGTATTAACTACATGTACTAGCTCAAAACCATAATCAATTTGTCTTAAGAAATTGTATATGGAAAAGATATACAGATACGATCTCATATTGAATAGGAATTTAAGGCTTTTTAAGTTATAACTTTTCTCTAAAAGCGAAATGACCTATAGAACAAACTTACAAAACACAGTATTGGTTGTTTTAAGTGATAGTACTCTTCCACAGGCTGCTTCTATTTTAAGTCATCGCCATTTTGCTTTCTTAACAAGTATGTAATGGTGCGTTTGGATAGATAATTTATGCCTTTGGTATGCGTCTAGCTAGAAGTATTTTCTGATGGGAGCACATTGAGTTTCATACCTTGGCTCTCACAAAGAAAAAAAAAAAATTATAATTTTTTAACGAGTGTCGCCTACATCAATCTGCAATATAGACATTGACAACAAGATTAGAAAAATAAAATAAAATAATTGAACAGTGTGGTAGACATCAAGCTGCAGCACTGGTTTTTTAAAAATAAATAAATAATATGAGGGATACTCATTAAAAAATATATACATAAAATTGATTACGTGGGAAGTGGGAACAGGGCATGGAACTCAACGTTTCCTACTGGGAAAATACTTCAGGATACCAAACACGCAATAAAAGGCTATTTGCAAGTAAAAGTACTGGTTTAAGGGGAAGATTATATTTTTTTTTATTTTTTTTAGTATCTCTTTCTATTAAATTTTAACCGTTAATTTCTGTCGACTTAACTGTTATAATTTATTTAGTTACACTTATTAATTAATTATTAAATTTTAATAAATTATAACCGTTAGATTGATGGAAATCAACGGTTAAGATTTGATAGTAAGAGATAGTAAGAAAAAAAGTAGTAAGTATAACCTTTCACGCTTTCTAAAAAAATAAATAAATTTTAATGTTTTAATTCTCACATTACCTATGTTTGAATGTTAATTTCTGGAAATGTTCTAAATTTTTTTGCATTGGGAAGTCAATTTTTTTCCCACGCTGAATTTCAAATGCTTTTTTTTTATAAGAATCATATTAGGAAGATAGTTTTTTATTTTTTTCTAAAACAACTTCTCAAATTTTTTTCAAAAAAAAATATTTTAATTTAAAAATTGAATTTTATTAAATACATATTTAAATAAGTTTTTTATTACACCAATATTATAAAATTATTTTGACTTCAGATTTGAACTATATTATTACATTTAATTGTTCAATATTTATGCAGCTTTAGCATACACATGATTGAGCTCATTGATGGCTTGAAATTTGAATAGTCTAATTTCTAACAAAAAAAAAAGTATAAATAATTTATTTCCTTAAACCACACCCAAAAAAAATAAAAAAAATAGTCGGGAGTCCCACAATGTGAAGCTCGCATGTCTTGACAACGTTCTTTTTCTCACTTTTACTGTTCAGCAACATTTAAAATTACCTCATCTTGTTCTATAGCTTTCTCCAAATTAAGCATGATAGGTTGGTAGCTGAACATTAATTTCTGAAAGGTTGATATGGCAAATTTCAAGCATTACAATTTTTCTGTTCACATGTTGTTGCCGCTATGCATCAATTCATTGAAAATGCATGCGATTTGTATCTCTTGCATTCTGCATGTATAATTTGACTCACAAAGAAAGAAAGGAGGAGGAGTTATTATACATATTACATATATAATTAACATGTGTTACAGGCACCCAAAAAAGTAAATGTAGTATTGATTATTTTGTTATCCTTTTCCTTTTTTTTTTTTGGGTAATTATCCTTTTCCTTTACTACTTTTATTAGTTGCCCCATAAATATCTCCATCTTTACCATCAAATTGGGATGTGAACACTTGAAGTTTTCGTGTTTTATGAAAAGGAGGTTAGAAATGATGGCAAAGCGCTTTTATCTACTCCCTATTTTTTTCAAAATTTACGTGTCCGCGGACACACGGACACGTTCCGACACGCTCGGAGACGCGTTCGACACGCGGTCAATATTTGGGGACACGCGGTCAACTCTTCGACACGTTTTTCCGACACGCAGTCCACGTTTTTGGACACGCGGTCAACGCTCGGACACGTTTTTTTTTTTTTTTTTTTAAATCTTAATTTTATTTTTTATTTTTATTTTTTTTGTAAGCTTAATTTTATTTTTTAACTAAATATAAAAAATAATTTATAAATTAATTTTTTTTCTGTTATAAAATTTGACATGAAAATTTAACAAAGTACGAAAAATTATTTTATTTATATTTATGTTATGAAATTTAAATATTTGATTGGTTATATGATTTATTATGTACTCTTATATGTATTAAATATAAATTATATTATATATATTAAAAAATTTATTTAATATCAAAACGTGTCCCAGCGTGTCGAAATATGACATTTTTTAGAATTAACGTATCGGCGTGTCGTGTCCGTGTCCGTGCATCATTGGTTTTAGATTCCAAAGTTTTTAAAATCAAGTTTGGATCCCGAGTATCATGTTTGGCTGAAAAAAATTACGGTGAGTACAACTAATTTTGAGTTGCAGAATTAATTTTGAGGTGAGTGAAATTTTTTAACTTTTATACTATAAAGAGTTTATTTTAGATGTGAGGCTTGCATAATTTTAAACTATTTTTCTAAACTATTTTTAAAATATTATTATCAAATACAAACTTATCTTTTTAAAGTTAATTCTTTCAAAAATAGCTCTATATTAAAATATTAATAATACGAACCCTATGTGCACGTCCTTTGGGCCAATGATGTTTTTTTTTTTTTTTTGAAATTAAACTAACTCTAATTATCTCTTTGAGAGGTGAGTTTGACTTTCCTTAGTATCTCCACAAGCTTCGACTCTTTGAGCCGATTAGGAACTAATTCGGAGTGCGGAGCGGGTCAGGGATATATTTAAACCCCTCCCAAAGGTGGCATATGAGGATCGAATCGAGACTCTTTCCTTT